TTGACTCCTTTGCTGGTGACTGACTCTGTTACCAAGTGGTGACTCTCTGAATGACTGGTTGACTGACGTAATACTACCTGACCGGCTGACCAGCTGGTGCCTGTTTGGCTATTATGCTCTTGTGATCAATATATGTTAAAAAGCGCACTATAAATTAATCAATTATTATTAATATTATTTTTGTTTGATTGGCCTAATGACTTTCTGACCGACTGGTGAATGACTGGCTTTCTGACTGGCGACTGACTTGCTGAACAATTTGTTGACTAAGTCACTGGTACCTGACTCTCTGAGTGACTGATTGAGTGACGGATTGATTGATAACTGGTTGACTTACTTACGTGACCATCTGACTGAATGGTTGACCTAATGCTTCAGGAAATAGTAGGGTTAGTTACGGACTGGCCACAGAGTGTCTGAGTGATTGGTTGACTGGGTCACTGGTGCCTGAATGGCTACCGAACCGGTTAACTGACTTGCCGACCGACTGGTGACTGACTGCCTAATCTACTGATGACTTACTGGCTGATTCACTGGTGACTGACTCATGGTACGTGATATTGTAAGGAAAGACCGCAGATTGCCATATGTTGCTTAGAATGATTAGGTAAATTAAAATGTCTAGCGACTGGTTTCGATGTGTCCTTGTCATTCCTTTCCACGTCTCGAAGGTGTTCTCGGAATCGGTCACCTAGTCTTCTGCCTGTTTCGCCGATGTATATCTTTTTGCAATAAATGCAAGTTATGCAATAGATTACATTGGCGGAGGAGCACGTGAAGTGATCGGTGATTTTAATGGATCGTATAGGTCCCGATAATTTATCAGGTCTTTCTCCTTACAATATCAACTCAAAATCAAGCAGATAAGTGATGAGAATAAACGAAAGTGTCAATTAGGGGATTATTAGTTGAACCAATACCAAATTCTTCCATCCAACATCATAAGAATTTTATGGCAGACAGTATGGAGAATTGCTACTGAGATCTTGACTGTGAAAGAGTTATAATTAGTCGTCATCTGTGGCACTCGACAACTTTACCAAACCCGACGGGGATACACACCTCTACCTGGTGCACTGAGGGTTCATACAACAAACAAAAAGTATCCTTAGTCGTTTTATAAGAAACCAGCTGCAGCCCAAAAACATTTCTGTAACAGGATGCAGTGGTCGAGCGAATAGGGACGGAGAAGATTCAAGGATTTCCAAAGTAATTTATTGTAAATACAAACTAACAGTAAAACAGCAAGCAAATCACACGAGACAAGCCCAAAATAGAGTAGAGGGCAGTAAATAATATAAAATAAACGGGAACAACTAACAAATGTTACCAAAATATGATACAAAATAATCTAATGTTTTACATGCAATAAAGGAAACATAAGCAAAAAAGGCGCTTTTAAGGTGACTTATACCGGTTTTCATCTTTTTGATGTTTGTAACTTTGAAAGAATACAACAGAAAGACTGACCAAGGCCAGTTGAACATTTTTACGGGGTTGAATTTAATAATCATTGGTTATCCAAAAATAGGTGTAATTTTGCCACTAGCAGTTTCCATGCCAACGC